TCGCCGGGCAGGATTGGAGCTCCTCTGATTTTTGTAGTTTGCAACGATTGGTATCAAGCTATAGAAACAATTTCAGAAGCTGGGGTGGCAAATGCAATGCGTAATTTTGCTTCGAGCTTGCGACGCTTATGGGAGAGACAAGATGACGAGCAGCGCCAGAGACTGAAAGCAGACTACATTTCGAAGGATTTTGAGAAACGGCTAAGAACACTTCAGATGGAGAGAGGAAGAATGAAACATCAGCAGGATACAATATCAGGAAAAACTGGGGTGTCAATTGTTCCATCTGAACGTGGAGTTTCGCCATTGGATGATCTAAAGGTAGATTTGGATTCGATAAAAGAAAGGTTGGCCGAAGAGAAAGCAAGACACAAAGAGGCTGTGAAATTAGTGCATGATGCAGCTTCTAGTAGTTTGCAGGGAGGTTGGTACCTATTTTCAAGGCTTTGGAGGAATTCACTTCAGCGGCGTTGAAAGCTCACGAGCAAATTAGGACAAGAAATAACGGGCAGAGCTAATAAGGGAAGGTATATTTTTAACTCGGAAATGAGCTGGTTTCTTTCATGAAAGATTCCTGTTTTAAGCAGCCAGGGCGGTGGTAGGATCAGCTACAGTTAACAGTGATGAAATCAGGATAGAAAGAACGAGAATTAAATTTGAGTCGAGAACATCATCGAAAAGATGTTGAAAACAAAAGGGGTTGTGGAACCACTTCTAGAGAGCATGCAGGTTGGCAGAAGATGAAGTGTTCTCTCGTTCAAAAATTGGTAGAAGAACAAAGGTGGTGTTTTAGAAGTTGTAGTTGGAACGATTGACAAGCATTCGTTCACTTCATCGAGACGTCGCAGATTCGAGTTGTGGAATCAGACTCAAAAAGGTTGCTTACTGATATTTCTCTCAGATCCCACCATCTGCTTTTCATAAAGGTGGTGTTTTGTATTTTGGTTTTGCTACAACCCCAAGTACATAGGTAGGACTTTGTACAGAAATTCTTTGATTTGTTAATTGGTGTGGTGTTTTGTATTTTGGTTTCACTCGTGTTATTTTCGTGTCGTATCACTTTCGGTATATGTCGGGTTCGTGTCAATATTTATGTTAATAAAAATTATTTAATTTGACAACAATTAATATAATCCTACTAGTAATTGCCCGAAATCAAGGTAGTATCATGTAACTTAAAACTCGAAAATCTTACATTACCTAAAGACTCTTTACAATTTGTCAATTTGAAATCAAAGTAGTCCATACAAATATTCAGAAATTTTCTCTAAAATAAAAAACCCATAAAAATGTAACCTTGTTTACAGAATTTACAATCATCATAATTCACTATACCACCACAATAATCAATACATACACAATCATCAACACATATTTAACCACCAAAACATCAAGCTAATCCCTACTAATTTCAAGAAATTTGGGTAGAGTTTCCTCTAAAAATAGAACTCCAAAAAAATATAAATCTGTCTATAAAACTTACAATAATTTACCATACCACCACAATAATCAATACATACACAATCATTAACACATATCCAACCACCAAAATATCAAACTAATCCCTACTAATTTCAAGAAATTTGGGCAGAGTTTCTTTTAAAAATAGAAGTCCAAAAAAATCAAAATCTGTCTATAAAACTTACAATAATACATCATACTACCACAATAATCAATACATACCCAATCATCAACACATATTCAACCACCAAAACATCAAGCTAATCCCTACTAATTTCAAAAAATTTGGACAGAATTTCATCTAAAAATAGAAACCCAAAAAAATCTAAACTGTCTATAAAACTTACAATTATATATATCACCACAATCATCATAACCATGTGTATTCAAATCACAAAAACAAAACCATCATAACCATGTATAATTAGTTAACTGTACAAAAAACATAATACAAAAAAATACACACTTGCACAAATAGAAAAACACCTTCAACTTCGTCTCCATATCCTTCAATGTATAGCTGAAAACATTTGAAATATAATCAATTATCGAAATATGTCAAGAAAAAAAAAAAATTGTAAATCCGAAACAAGGGATAACCCGTACCTAAAGGCACGGTACAACTAAAAAAAATCAAACATTAAATTTGCTTGCAAAATAATCAAGCATTATTCTCGGACACAACCTAACTTGCCATATATCATGTGTCATGAGTTTAGTGAAATATGAATCACAAAATATAATTATATATAGTACATTTACAAAATGAGTCATTCTTGAATCTAATTCATCAAAATGCGGATTTTCTGCACATCATTATAAGTACTCTCTCTCCATCACAGCCTTGAATGTCATTGTATCAATCCAAATCCACATCTTCCAACTGGGGAAATGTATAACAATCTAGCATTTACAAAACTAGTTAAATTTAATACGCGACAGAGATTTTAAAATTAAAAATTTAAAATAAAAAATAAAACTATAACAAATAAATTTAGTTACCTTATTCAAACATTCCCTCGAAAAAGATGGGTTGCATTTATTCTTTTTAACTCCTACATTTCTTCATCCCAATTCTATAGATGAAATAAAATGTTTGATCAATAAAATAACATTTTAAAATATTTGCAATCAACAGAAATAAACTTGCAAGTAATTTATACCATTTCGTCCTTGTAGAATATGGACCATTATAGCAAAACCTCAGGGTACACAATATTTGTCGTGCAGGGAGAAGGACGTGTAAACGATTAGAAGATGTGCATCTAGATAGTGCAACATATAGATGTCCATGACTAAAGACTGGTGTTCGCAAATCAACTCTAACAAATTTCACAGATTGTCATTGAGACTTATTAATTGTCATAACATATGTTAACCGGATAGGAAATTGACGTCTAGTCATTTGAAAGGGCAATTCATAAGTTGTCGGTGTCAAAGATATTCTTGGAATGAAGACCAAGTTACCAGATTTATCTCCATTTAATATTCTAGTTTCAATTACACGCATACCACATCTGACAACCATCAATCGCGTCCCATTACAAAGATCATCTTTCGGTGCAATGTTCCTCAACAACATTATTGGACAACCCACTTTCAGCTCTAACAAGAAAGGTGGAAACTTGAAGGATTCAAAGAGTTCAAATACTTATTAAGGAAATCGATTTGTGATGGTTCGATCAATTTCATCAGCATCTGACATTTTGTCTGCAGCTAAATATGTAACTGTCTCCCAGGAGCAAATTTGCAATGCTGCGGCATTTATAGCACTAACATCGTCATTCTGGGGTCATTGTACCAACCACTTCTAATCGTGGAAAAATACTGTAAATCAATTTGTGGAGATTGTTACATTTATGTATTGCTAATGGAAGTTCTATAATGTCTTGTGGGTTAGCGCCAGTCTAAAAATAAAAGCACACAAATAGTGAATAATCAAAATCAATATATTCAATATATATTCACAAATTTGGATATCAATGAAATGTTACCTCCATTAAGAAATTTGTAAAATTTGTGTTTTCAACATTTGTTATATTCAAACGCATGTTTAAATCTAAGGTCAAAACATGTATATCCCTCCTAACATAGACCGCCTCAATGAAACACCCACAAATTTCTCGCGAACTCTCCTTGGTATAATGACAAGATTTGTCTAAAGTCTCCACCAAGAACAACTGTGATACCCCCAAATGACTTTTTGCTGTCACAAATATCCTAGAGTGTACGATCTACTACCTCAACACAAAATCTATGTTGCATAGGAATGTCATCTCATATTATGAGTTTTGTTTTTCTGAATAACTCTGTGTGCATAGATTGCTTGGTAAATTTACAAACCGAATTCTCAAGCACTTCCAAAAAAATGCAAAAAGTTGAATATGCAAATAATAATAATGATGCAATTCCGGAAGAAGCCACGACAACAACATGTCCAAGACTACACAATTTAGTAGCAACTGTATTGTATAGAAATGTCTTTCCTGTTCCGGGACCCCCATTCAAGAAAAATGTGTTTCCCTTATTGTCAAATACGGATGAAGTGATTACAACATAAGCATTGCGTTGTGTATCATTAAGGCAGTCAATATCAATTTCTGAAATTGTTTGTTGCGCTTCATTCTGGAGTTTTTGATGTTCAAATAACAATATGTTACCAACAACTACATTCCAGTTTCAATTGGTTACAACATAGGCGGAAAATCAATTAGACCCTTGCCTGACTCATGAAGAAGTTGATTCATTAGATATAACCCATAATCTTCTATCTGATCTTGTGTTGGACTCACAATGCCAAAGATCGTACGAATCTTGTGTGCAAGGTCATCACATATCTGTTTTGAAAATTGATTCCATAATGCAAGCGGATGAAGTGAAGAGCATTTAGTAAGAATTATACTATACAATCTCCTCAATTGATACCCTTTATTCATAATTGAAGCCTCTTGAAGGCATTGTATTCATTCTTGATTATCTTGTATTACAAAGAAAATTCTAACTTAGAAAATTTCTAAGTAAGATTTGTATCCGATTCTTCTCCATCTTTCTCCTCCAAATTCCAAAAATCTAACAATCTAAATCACCAAAAGATTTTAAAACACAAAACCCATCTTTGATCCAATAGTACGAAGACGTCACCTGGTCAAGGGTTCAAATCTCTTTTCCTCCCTCTCTCCCATAAATATATATATATATGTAGAAAGAGGCAGAATCCTAGCAGCCGCAACAAAAGGCAGCTGGGAGAAAGACAGTAGAGAGAGCGAATCAAAAGAAAAGAAGATCGAATTAGGGGAAGAGAAGGAATGAGAAAGGGTGTAAAGGTGGAGGTGGTAGCTACTCTCTCGTGGGCAAGGGTGTAATGGACCCAAATTACTCATTTTAAGTAACATGCGAGTAAATCTTCGCCCTTCTATGGTGTTCTGACTCATCATCATCTTTCCAAAATTCTCTTCCCACCATGGAAGGGTACGCATAGATAAGGGAAAGAGCGAATCGGTAGTTTACAGAGAATTGTGTCAGTATTTGTGTGATTGGTGGTTTTCGTCTGCCGACGAAGAGATAGCCAAAGAGAGGGAATAAAATTTGTGAAAAAGCTTGATGTCAAATTTAAATTTAAATTTGAATTTTAGATTTTATAGGAAATAAATTTTTATTAATCGTGAATAAACAATAACTATTTAGAAAATTAATTTAATATTGAAGATTATTTTTAAGTCATAAGAAATGTATTTTGGAGTTTTAAAAAAAATAGTAGACTTAATTATCTATAGTCATAACCCGTGCTTGAAGGCATGATAAAATATAAAATTCTAGCGTCTAAAAAATCGATCCCACTATATTACATTTTTTGAAAATATATTAACTACAAATTAATCAAATATTAAATAATTAAATATATGATAAAAATAAGTGATGTGATTTTTTAGGAAAGAAATATATAAATGATTAGACATGTAATAG